AACGTGAAAACATTATTTAGGTACTCCCGTGATCGCTAATAAAGCGAAAACGTTATTAAGGTTCTCCCGTGATCGCTAGTAACGCGAAAACGTTATTAAGGTTCTCCCGTAATCGCTAATAACGCGAAAACGTTATTAATTTTCTCTCGTGATCGCTAGTAACGCGAAAACGTTATTAACGTTCTCCCGTGATCGCTAATAACGCAAAAATGTTATTAACGTTCTCCCGTGATCGCCAATAACGCGAAAACGTTATTAAAATTCTCCATTGATCGCTAATTAGGGGAAAAAGTTATTATCGTTCTCCCGTTATCGCTAATAACTCGAAAACGTTATTAAGGTTCCCCCGTGATCGCTAATAACGCGAAAACGTTATTAAGGTTCTTCCGTGATCGCTACTTAGGCGAAAACGTTATTAACGTTCTCTCGTGATCGCTAATAACGCGGAAACGTTATTAAGGTTCTCCCGTGTTCGCCAATTAGGCGAAAACGTTATTAAGTTCCTCCCGTGATCGCTAATAACGCGATAACGTTATTAAGGATCTCCCGCTATCGCTAATAAAGCGAAAACGATATTAAGGTTCTCCCGTGATCGCCAATAACGCGAAAACGTTATTAACGTTCTCCCGTGATCGTTAATGACGCGAAAACGTTATTAACGTTCTCCCGTGATCGCTAATAACGCGGAAACGTTATTAATGTTCTCCCGTGATCGCCAATAACGCGAAAACGTTATTAACGTTCTCCCGTGATCGTTAATGACGCGAAAACGTTATTAACGTTCTCCCGTGATCGCTAATAACGCGAAAACGTTATTAAGGTTCTCCCGTGATCGCCAATAACGCGAAAACGTTATTAACGTTCTCTCGTGATCGCTAATAAAGCGGAAACGTTATTAAGGTTCTTCCGTGATCGCCAATAACGCGAAAACGTTAATAACATTCTCCCGTGATCGCTATAAGTTTTTTTTTTTTTTTTTTTTCTCCCGTGATCGCTAATAACGCGGAAACGTTATGAAGGTTCTCCCGCGATCGCCAATACCGCAAAAACGTTATTAATGTTCTCCCGTTATCGTCAATAACGCAAAAATATTATTAACGTTCTCCCGTGAACGCTAATAACGCGAAAACGTTATTAAGGTTCTCCCGTAATCGCTAATAACGCGAAAACGTTATTAAGGTTCTCCCGTGATCGCCAATAACGCGAAAACGTTATTAATGTTCTCCATTGATCGCTAATTAGGGGAAAAAGTTATTATCGTTCTCCCGTGATAGCTAATAACGCGAAAACGTTATTAAAATTCTCCCGTAATCGCTCATAACGCGAAAACGTTATTATGGTTCTCCCGTGATCGTTAATAACGCGAAAACGTTATTAAGGTTCTCCCGTGATCGCTAATAACGCGAAAACGTTATTAAGGTTCTCCCGTGATCGCCAATAACGCGAAAACGTTATTAAGGTTCTCCCGTGATCGCCAATAACGCGAAAACGTTATTAATGTTCTCCCCTGATCGTTAATGACGCGAAAACGTTATTAACGTTCTCCCGTGATCGCTAATAACGCGAAAACGTTATTAATGTTCTCCCGTTATCGCTAATAACGCGAAAACGTTATTAAGGTTCTCCCGTGATCGCTAATAACGCGAAAACGTTATCAACGTTCTCCCTTGATCGCTAATAACGCGAAAACTTTATTAACGTTCTCCCGTGATCGCTAGGAACGCTAAAACGTTATCAACGTTCTCCCTTGATCGCTAATAACGCGAAAACGTTATTAACGTTCTCCCGTGATCGCTAATAACTCGAAAAGGTTATTTAGGTTATGCCGTGATCGCTAATAAAGCGAAAACGTTATTAAGGTTCTCCCGTGATCGCTAATTAGACGAAAACGTTATTAAGGATCTCCCGTGATCGCTAATAAGGCGAAAACGTCATTAACATTCTCCTATGATCGCTAATAACGCGAAAACGTTATTTAGGTTCTCCCGTGGTCGTTAATAAAGCGAAAACTTTACTAAGGTTCTCCCGTGATCGCTAATTAGGCGAAAACGTTATTAAGGTTCTCCCGTGATCGCTAATAACGCGAAAACCTTATTAAGGTTCTCCCGAGACCCGTAATAAGGCGAAAACCTTATTGAGGTTCTCCCGAGACCCGTAATAAGGCGAAAACATTATTAAGGTTCTCCCGAGACCCGTAATAAGGCGAAAATCTTATTAAGGTTCTCCCGAGACCATTAATAAGGCGAAAACCTTATTAAAGTTATTTCGAGACCCTTAATAAAGCGAAAACATTATTATGGTTCTTCCGAGACCCTTAATAAAGCTAAAACCTTATTAAGTTTCTCCAAAGACCCTTAATAAGATTTTTGCCGTATTAAGGATCTCCCGAGACCCTTAATATGGTTTTGGACTTATTACGGGTCTCGGGAGAACCTTAATAAGGTTTTCGCCTTATTACTGGTCTCGGGAGAACCTTAATAAGGTTTTCGCCTTATTACGGGTCTCGGGAGAACCTTAATAATGTTTTCGCCTTATTACGGGTCTCGGGAGAACCTTAATAAGGTTTTCGCCTTATTACGGGTCTCGGGAGAACCTTAATAAAGTTTTCGCCTTATTACGGGTCTCGGGAGAACCTTAATAAGGTTTTCGCCTTATTACGGGTCTCGGGAGAACCTTAATAAGGTTTTCGCCTTATTAAGGGTCTCGGAAGAACCTTAATAAGATTTTCGACTTATTAAGGGTCTCGGGAGAACCTTAATAAGGTTTTCGCCTTATTAAGGGTCTCGTGAAAACCTAAATATGATTTTCGCTTTATTAAGGTTTTCCCGAGACCCGTAATAAGGCGAAAACCTTATTAAGGTTCTCCCGAGACCCGTAATAAGGCGAAAACCTTATTAAGGTTCTCCCGAGACCCGTAATAAGGTGAAAACATTAATAAGGTTCTCCCGAGACCCGTAATAAGGCGAAAACCTTATTAAGGTTCTCCCGAGACCAGTAATAAGGCGAAAACCTTATTAAGGTTCTCCCGAGACCCGTAATAAGGCGAAAACCTTATTAAGGTTCTCCCGAGACCCGTAATAAGGCGAAAACCTTATTAAGGTTCTCCCGAGACCCTTAATAAGGCGAAAACCTTATTAAGGTTCTCCCGAGATCCTTAATAAGGCGAAAACCTTATTAAGGTTCTCCCGAGACTCTTAATAAGGCGAAAACCTTATTAAGGTTTTCCCGAGACCCTTAATAAGGCGAAAACCCAATTAAGGTTCTCCCGAGACCCGTAGTAAGGCGAAAACCTTATTAAGGTTCTCTCGAGACCCGTAATAAGGCGAAAACATTATTAAGGTTCTCCCGAGACCCTTAATAAGGCGAAAATCTTATTAAGGTTCTCCCTAGACCCTTAATAAGGCGAAAACCTAATTAAGGTTCTCCCGAGACCCGTAATAAGGCGAAAACCTTATTAAGGTTCTCCCGAGACCCTTAATAAGGCGAAAACATTATTAAGGTTCTTCCGAGACCCTCAATAAGGCTAAAACCTTATTAAGTTTCTCCAGAGACCCTTAATAAGATTTTTGCCTTATTAAGGATCTCCCGAGACCCTTAATAAGGTTTTTGAGTAAGGTTTCTGTTTATTGTTAATGTAAAGTTATTTTGTATATCATCATACAAAGAATTATAGTTTCACAAACTGATTTATCTATCTTTTTGTTATTATTTTCAAAATTAAATATAATTACATAAAAAATGATTACATAAAATTAATCATCCGAATTATCGATCGCATCATAATAGCCAGGATGATATTTATCATAAAAACATGAAAAACATAATATAATACAATATCTAGCGCATTGGATGCTGTATTGTGCCGTATATGTGTGAGCAATCTTATTAAAACTTTATTTTTTTACAAGAAAATTATTCACATCATTCGATACACTAGATGTTATATTACATTATGTTTTTCATGTCTAACACTAACACGCAAATGCATCAAAGTAAGATATCATTCGCATTGATATATATATTTTTTTAATTAATTAATTATGTAAAAAATATATAAAATAAAATATTACTATAATAATATGAGAGTTGTAAGCATTTATGAAATACAGATATAATTATTTTAAATAAAATGAAAAGGTTTTATTAAAAAACATTTTTAATAAATGTCTTTATAATAAATAAATAAATTTGTCTCTATATATTGGGCGCCCGAAGTCGTCTCGAAATCCTATCCAAATTATGTAAAATGTAGCGCGTGAAATATGAGACGGGGCCGACAAGAGATGGAAGGAGACATGAGCTTTAGGCGATAGAAAATCACCGCTCGCCTCATGCCTACCGCCGCGTGATTTGCCATCATTGATGAGACAAAAGCAGAACGATAGATTATCGGCTCTTGTCTAACTCTCATGTCCATCTCATGTGAATAGTTCGGATATGAACCATAGCTCGGACATGAACCATAGCTCAGATACCATGTATTATTATCAACTGTAATGGATGTAGTTGACGTCCACTTTGTCAGGCGGCGCATTAGGACAATGTGCCCGTTAAAGCGAGGTGGCCGCTCTCAGGTTTCTCTCTGGTGGTACCAAGTTTTCGGAGTCAGAGCTCGCAAACAAGTTGGTAACACTGACCGCCAACTGCCAGTGGTATGGATGCGTATACATGTATAAGTGTACGCAACGCTGATGATGTTGACGTTAAATTTATCGTCACGATTGCAATGGATATTATGTGAATTCAACGGCTAATGCCAGTAAACTCTTCCTAGTTAGCGGTACAACGTGATTGCATTTTCGTGCAACGATATTTGTGAGTCGTGAGATTTCACAAGTCATGAACAGGCGATTTTTGTACACATCAGGGCTTTGGCTCGATACACGATACGCCATGTTGGTTTAAAAGAATATCTTCCGAGTTGATAGAATCCGTGTGCGATCCGAGCGTATCGTTTCTGCATATCGCGAATGAACCCAGTGTGATACGCATTCCAGACGATGGAAGAGACGAAGATTATCTATCACATGGACGATGAGGAGACACCGTATCTAGTAAAGCTCAATATATCGCCAGAAAGGGTAACCCTTGCCGATTTCAAGAATGTTTTAAATCGGCCGAATTACAAGTATTTCTTTAAGTCAATGGACGATGACTTCGGGTAAGTGATAATACAATGAATTTATTCTCATATTACTAATTTGTTGTGTCTACATATCATGTAATGTAACATATTATATTAAATCTTTTATTTGTTATGCACATTGTAACAAAATGTAATTTGCGAATCATTGCTCCGATAATCGGTATTGCAATTCGCGTGTGTATTCATGCATCATACATCTACCTATCTATCTATCTATTCTTAAGATCTTACGATTATTAGCAATATTGATAAATAATTTTTTTCATTACATAAACGATTGAATGACTTTTTTATTTGTGGCATATTATTACTCCTATTATCTTTGCTATTTGCTTGTACAATATAATTCTTATACTATTCTTATACTATTTTTAAAAAGTTGACGGAGCTTTGTCTTATGATAGCAATGTAACACAATTTTTTAATGATAAGTGAAACATAATCATGACATGTATTTAAAAATTAACTTTATTAAATTATATACTTAAAATAGTACACAAAGAAATAAGGATTATTAATACTTTTGTTATATATTTATAAATTCATAGTAGCAAATCAGGAATTATTAAGTTTGATATTGATAATACATGCTTTTGTACTAAATTAATTTGTTTATTCTTTATATTAGCGTGGTAAAAGAAGAAATTATAGATGATGATGCTCATTTACCATGTTTCAATGGTCGAGTTGTCTCTTGGGTAAGATTTAGAATAATGTCTTTTTTCAATAGATATTATTTAAATTTCTAAACAGAAACTGACAAAAAAAAGAATACCATGTTATTTCCATGTTCGACCTTTCTATAGGAATCATATATTGAATATGACACATGTGTATATTTTGGGTAAGATTTAGAATAATGTCTTTTTTCAATAGATATTATTTAAATTTCTAAACAGAAATTGATAAAATAAAGAATATCATGTTATTTCCATGTTTGACCTTTCTACAGGAATCAGATATTGAATATGACACATGTGTATATTTTTATTCTCATGGAAAGTATTTTTTATCAAAATATAATTTAATAAATATGTTATTTAATGAAGCAACATTTTATGACAGCTGGTATCCGCTGAAGGTAGCAATGTCTCGGATGGTGCATCCCAATGTACAGATTCCATGGCACACAGTGAAGCGAAACATGATCGTGTAGATCATGTAACTCCTGGACATGGTAATAGAGGAACAGCTCCACTTTCACACGACGACACATTAACAGAGACAGAGAGTATAATAAGCAGTCGACAAGGACATCATTTACATAAAAGCTCGAGACATCATTCGGAAAAATATGAAAAGTACAACAAATATAATGGTATGCTACTGGTGGAAAAATGATAGTATATTAATATATTGTATATAATTAATTATAAAATATAATCAAGTTATTTTATATATTTATAAAAAAAAAAGTAAAGCTTGTATATAAACTATCACATTTTGGGAAATAATAATATAAAATAACAATAAAAGATATTTAACATGAAATATTTTTTTTTCATATTTTAAATTACGAGAAATTCCATAGGACTTCGTATAAATGGTCATTCGAAACATCGCTCTGGTCATGGATATGAAACTGCTTCCATCTTAAGTTCAGATTTAGAAACAACAACTTTTTTGGAATCTGATGACGATGCGAGCAGTCGTATCACATCGACGACGGGTCGTCATACTAATATGAGTAGCACAGTTGATAGAGGCACTTTGGGTATGAATAAATCGAAATAATATGATAAGATATTAAGACTCCTTATAACATCTTATATTATGTTTAAACCTTGGATACAAAACCATGTAGCTAATAAATTTCTTGTTTTATTTCGATATACGCGAAATGTGAATCTATAAAATTTTCTTCTCTTATAGATCGACGTCGACCGCAAAGAAAACGACGACATAGATTACCACCCATGTCACGAACATCATCGTTTAGTAGTATTACTGACAGTACAATGTCCTTAAATATTATAACTGTTTCACTGAACATGGACACTGTTAATTTCCTTGGTATTAGTATTGTCGGGCAGAGTAACAAAGGTGGAGATGGAGGAATATATGTTGGTTCAATAATGAAAGGGTTAGTATGCATATTTCCTTAAAATTTTATTTACATTTTAGCAGAGACAACTATACCTTAAACAAAACTACTAAATTGAAATCAAGATTATTTCTCACCAACAATAGGTTATATAAAGTAAAATATCTCTGTTAATTATCACATAATTAATATGAATATTAATTATATTTATATATATGTTTATTAATGACCTCTGCACTAAATTATGTGAAAACAGAACAAAGATTTCGTACTTCTCGTTACTTCTGTACTTTTGCATTTCTGTACTTTACATTATAGTATTTGTGCATGAGACTGATGTACTGTGCACTGATTGTACAGATATGGTATTTATTATTGTATTATGGTATTTATTATTAATGTTATAAATTTTCTATTTCTTATATTTTTCTGTTTAATATACTGGTCTGAAATAGAGGAGCAGTTGCTTTAGATGGTCGAATAGAACCTGGTGACATGATTCTTCAAGTCAACGATATTAATTTCGAAAATATGTCTAATGACGAGGCAGTGAGGGTATTACGCGAAGTAGTGCAAAAACCAGGGTATGTATCAATTATGATACATATCTGTGTAATTATATAATTGTTTAAATAGAATACAAAAGTTATTATATTATATTAAAAGTTATTATATTATATTATATTTTTTTCTTTTTAGACCAATAAAACTTGTAGTTGCAAAATGTTGGGATCCAAATCCTAAAGGTTATTTTACGATACCTCGCACAGAACCAGTACGTCCCATAGATCCTGGTGCATGGGTAGCGCACACGGCCGCTATACGAGGTGAAGGTTTTCCACCTCGTCCACCAAGTGCCACAACGTTAACTTCAACATCAAGCAGTCTGGCGAGCACTTTGCCAGATACCGAACGTAAGTTATAAGAAATTGTCATTTAATAAATGCTAAATTTTCTTGGTTAAATTAACGAAATGAAAATTTTCAATATTAAAACTCTCACATAACACTCTTATACAATAAACACTATTAATTCTTAAATTAAATAAAATCAAAGTTTTGAACAATTTTTTAATAAAAACATTAAAGATTTAAGTTTTTTAAATAAGAATTTAAATTTTAAATTAAATGAGAAAAGAAATTCTTATTATTTTTAATTGTTTTAAACTTTGGAAACATAGTGTTCCATCAAGATTTTTTCATAAAAAAAAAATGTCAATTGATTGAGAAATAGAAATAGAATAGACAAGAGAATAGGGAAGGATTGACTGGATAGATCCTATATATACTGAATTAACATATTTGACTCAGGACCATTGGAAGAGCTTCATTTAACAGTCAACACCGACATGCCGACAGTAGTACGAGCAATGGCTCGATCTGATTCAGGCTTAGAGATACGCGATCGAATGTGGCTTAAAATTACCATTCCAAATGCATTTATCGGTGCGGATGTTGTGGACTGGTTGAATACGCATGTGGAAGGATTTATTGATCGGCGTGATGCTAGGAAATATGCATCACTCATGCTGAAAGCTGGCTTCATTCGGCATACAGTGAACAAAATCACATTTTCTGAGCAATGTTATTACATTTTTGGTGATCTATGTTCAGCCATGAGTAGCATGAAATTAGATTGTGATACAGTTGGTCCCTTGCCACCACCAAATGCTTGGGACATGCCTTATTCGGGAACATATGCACCACATTCAGCAACTGGTTACAGTCCCATGCCATTTAATTTCACAAATGAGCCCACTGTTTATGGTTACCATCGAGAAGAGAGCGTGCATAGTGGTTCGGGTAAAATTGAGCATTTCTTTTATTTGTTTTACATTTTAAAAAAATCAATTTCCTTAAAAGATATATTTTATGTGTGTATATTAATATAAATAGGTGGTAGCAGTGCAGGTAGTGAACGTATATGCAAAGAACCTATTCACGATTTAAAATCATGCTCTTCGGCATCAGAATCAGAATTACATAATCCATCAATGCCCTCAATGCCAAGTAAAAATTCCGGCAATGGTAATGGATCGAATGGAAAGAGATCTAACGGAAGTCGCAGTCGTTCTAGTGGTTCCGAGCAATCTGTTCAAACGGGAACAGGATCAGGCAATCAGCAGAATCAGCAAGATTTATCTGGTAGTAGACAGTCATTTCGCATTGCGATGGGGAATCCTTGTGAATTCTTTGTCGATGTTATGTAGATGTTGTAAATAGGAAATATATAATATAGGATATAGCTAACTATCGTGAACAAATACTTTGAATTGTTTTTTTTTTTGTATAAGCATGTGTTATATCCTTATTCTATACTTGCAAAATCACAAAATAAATAAATAACTATTAGAATTTTTTCCCCACAATTTTTTATATTTTTGTATATTTTTCTATCTTAATAATTTGAGTTATCACAAATCTATCATGCCCTCAAAATTTATGCATGATTACTATTGCTTTTCTTACGTTCAAAGTATTTATTCACTAATTTGATTTAATAAATTTGAAAAGGGTCTGAAAAATTTAATTCATACACATTTTTATACATTATCATTTATATTTTATTCCGATTGTGCATCTTGCATAATAGTATTTTAAAAAGTTGCATTTGTTAAGATTGTTTTGAGATATATTTTGCATGTAACACCTAACAGAGAAATATATTTGGAAGTGTTATAATATGACATCCGAGTAAGCAAAAAGAGATAAAAAGAAAGAAAAAGTATTTTATTTTATATACACAGTAAGTTATAGAATTCTTACAAGTTACTTATTCATTTTCTTGTGTAATATTTAGTGTGTAAAATTGACGTCTTTTTTTTGTTCGTCATTATATATCATCCATAACAATGATAAGCAGTTTTGTTAACGTGTTATCATTAAAGAAATCTTTGATATAATACTGTAATACTAATAATTACATATAATAAGAGTATAAAACTTGTACAAGAGTGTCTAGAATGAACATCAAGACATAAATTTCGTTCTGATAACGACAATATGTTATCTTTCTGCATGATGCATCTTCTATTCTAAAACTTGTTTAATAATTTATTTCCTGTATCTCATAGTATTACAAAAACATAATTACAAATGTCTGTTCACTATAACAATTTATTATATATTTACACATAATGTGCACGCTTCATCGCAAGTGTAATGTTATATAACTATGATGTGGTAATTGTTACTTTTTTAGCAGCACAATCGCACAAGATAAAGCACATAAATGATCATGTAAATAACATGGTTTACCTCAATGACTGGTTCAAATGTTATTAAGATTTGCAATAATCTTTCTGCACATGCATGTAATTTATGTTATATATATAGGAAGGTATGTGCATATATCTATTAATATTTTTTAATTGATTGCGTTTTAGGATTATCTACAACAATGGGGCAGCTATTTCTTTAAAATCGAGAGGATATTGTTTCGAAATATCCCCCTCCCCCCTCTCATCACTAATTCGTTAATTTTTATTTTGAAAATATTTGGTACAATTTAAAAAACTTTTATATTTGAAAAAGTCATTCATGTATAGAAATTGTTTATCCTGATTAAATTGTTAACTGATTAAGAAAAAACTTACGATATCCACATGCAGATTTTTATACATAATAGTACGTTTCATTTGATTTAAGTTATTATATATTAAATTTTTAAATCGAAAATATAAATCGTACTTCTTGCAATATACGACATTGTATTAAATTCAATGAAATGTATATACATGCAAATTATGCTCATGCTAAATGTGCCATCTTATCAGTGTTAGAAATATAGAAAGCTGCGAGATTTAATTTATATTAATGCTTGCAGGTGTGTACGTCCTTAGATTATTTTATTGTCATTGTTATAAGTATTTTATAATTAATAATACAACTCCATGTATGTTTTAAGTTTTTAAATATTACTTTATTTTAATATTGCTGATGCAAATCTCTTCTACTTATGTCTTATCATGATACCAATTACTTATGTCTTATCATGATAACCAATTTTATTTACTACATTATTACAATAAAATGATATCTTTTATGCTCGATTTATGTGTGTGTGTGTGCGCGCGTGTGTGTGTGGGTGGGTGGGTGAGTGTGTGTGTGGGTGAGTGAGTGAGTGAGATGGGTGGGTGGGTGGGTGTGCGTGCGTGCGTGTGTGTGTATGTATATATATGTATGTATGTATATACAGTATCGAGCAGGAGAGAACTTTAAATTTATTACTTAATTTTACACATATTAAAATGCCACTCTTTTTTTTAAGTATTTGAATATAATATTGGCAAGAAATATTTTTAATTTTATTTATTGCATATTTATATAGAAGAAAGTAAATAATAGTTGATATATATGTACAGTGCTTCACTTGACAATACTTTGGTATAGTAATAGCCAAATATAGCTTCATGTGTGCATATGTGTAAGGATATATATATATATATATATATACACATATATATATGTAGGTATATGTTTGTACTTGTGTATATTCCAACAAGTATTCTAAAAGCCTGTATAAAACATCTTTTATCGACTAGAAATATAAATATTTTAATATACGAAAGAATTAAGTATTTTGACAAAAAGATTTGTTTTTTATTGTTTATTATAAATTTTATTTGATATTTTATGAAGCTATATTTGTGCATTGTAAACATTATGCAATTTTCCTAATTAATATAATTATATCTTTTATTTATATAAATGAATATACAACTCGTTATTTTCTTCTCTTCGTGACGAGACGCAATTTAATAAAATTGTATTTTAAAAAGTTGCTATTTTTTTATTAAAAAAGACATTAATGTGTATTATTTCTCACTATATTAATATTTTATGGAAAATTGTATATTATACTGTAATGATGAGTTATCTACACTTAATACACTTAACTATAATACATTTGAATATTTATAGCAAACAGATGTACAAAACCTTAATTCAATTTATGTTACATATCACGATATTAATAATTTTATTAATTGTTTGATGTAAATTACATACTTGTGTTACAGACAGGTTGTGGAATACATTTGATAAATCTTAAGATTCTACTTTTGCTATTTGTTGTATAATAATTCAATACTGCAAATAGGTGAAAAATTATAGATTTTTTCAACA